AAAAAAAAAAAAGAATGTAATGATCTGATGGGTGACAAGAACATCAGGCTATTATTTGACCTAGGTGCTCTCAATTTTTAGTTTAAGAATAAAATTTTAAATGCAAGGTAAAAAAAAAAAATCCTTGTCCTGGAGGAGCTGACTTCCATCCCAATAGGGAAGGCAGATTATCAAAGAGATCAGTAAACTATCTGGTGAGGGAAATCATACAGTGGCAATAAGAGAAGAAAAGTATAGTGGCAAGGAGGGAAGAACTGTGTTTTTAAATATGAGAGTCAGAAAAGGCCTCTCTCGGTGAAAACCAGAAGGAAGTGAAGGTGTGGGCCATGCAGAAGTCTGGGGAAGAGTGTCCTGGGCAGAAGGCACAGTCTGTGCAAAGGCCCAGAGGCTACACCATGCCTTGTGAAGCTGAAAGCGAGCAAGGAGACCCATGTGGCTGGAGTGGAATGAGCAAGGGAGAAGGGGTAGGAGACAAGGGTGAAGAGGTAAATGGGGCCAAATTGGGGATGGACGCTGTCTACCAGCAGAGCCCCGCAGGGTTTTGAGCAGCTGAGCACCCCAATCTGTAGACCAATGATGCCTCCAGGGTGCCTGGCACCCTGGCTGCCCGTCACACACCCGAAATAGACCTTTCCTTCCTTCCTTCCTTCCTTCCTCAGAACTTTCTCAGGGCTTCCGACCCCAGGTGGCTTGTCTCCTGGTTCTGGGCTGTTCCACCCCAAGGCTGCTGTTCGACAGAGCACAGTTCCGACCTCAAGTTAGGGGCTTTTTAAGCTGAAAATAATTCAAAGCCAGAAGAGGCCCTGGCCGACTGTTTTCATACATTTCCTCTTTTCAGCAACATTTTTATCTTTGCACAAATTTGGCATCTTATCTCTGTTCAAAACAAGAAACACTTGGCTTTTTCTGGGGTGCAGTGGGGGGCAGTGATCAGGAGGAGCAGACGGCTTGTGGGTAACCAGCTGGGGGATCTTGGGCAAGTTACTTAAACTGGCTAGGCCTCGGTTTCTTTATCTATAAAATGGGGGAGATAATGACTATCTCCCAGAGTAGCTCTTGGAATTGATGAGATTATGTATTCAATGCACTGAGCATATTATTGGTGTCTCATCACTCCTTCCTAATGGTTAGATGATTTTGTTCTCTAACAAGGATCAAAGGACCAAGAGCTAGGCTGACCTGACTCTTGTGGCTTTGGAAAAACAATTTACACTGTCTACCCCTCAGTGTCTATATCTGTACAATGCGAATCTTATTAATAATATATTAATATTATACCTTATATTAATAATGATACCTCCAGCCCACATGGCCTCCCCACCTGGTCCCATCCTACTCTTGTGTCAAGATTCGATCACCTTCTCCAGGAGTCCCCTTGACCTCCCCCAGGCGCGCACTCCCGCAGTCCTTGAGCTTCCTGCCACTCATCAAGGCAGGTGGTAACTGCCTATATACAGCAGACTGCAAGCTCACTGGGGACAGTGGCCTTGGTCATTGGAGTACATCTGTTGAATGAGCATGTCTGCCAGTAAATGGGCCAGTTAGCTTCACACCCAAGAAACTCCAGCACTAGCCCAGATGGGTCGTGCCCCAGCTGCTGAAAGCTGGTTGCCAGAGTGGCAAGGCAAGAGGGTACGAATAACTCTTTGCACCACCTCCATTCTGGTGGCTCAAGCCCAGCTGACGCTGGAGAAGCTGGCGGGCTCCCGAGACAGTTCACTGCATAGCTTACGCAAACTCCAGCTTCTTGAGGTCCCGGACAGCAGGGAGTTCCCCAGCTGTGTCTTCCCAGGAGCTTCTTGTCCTGGAGAGAATGGCAGTGTTAACGGGGAGCAGGCTCTTTGCTTTGCACTAAGCTCTTACCTATGAGCCCTGGGATGCCTAGAGAATGGCAGTGTTAACGGGGAGCAGGCTCTTTGCTTTGCACTAAGCTCTTACCTATGAGCCCTGGGATGCCTGACCCAGTCAGATGGACTGCCTTCCTTGGGGACATTTTTGCTCCCATGTTAAAAAGAAAAACCTCAGGACAGGATGTTATTAAGGCATTACTGTGTTCACCCACCTCAGGCAGCATATAGGAGGAGCTCAAACAATGTATGATGGAGAAATGAGTAAAAGAAAGTTGTTTTGTGGTCAAGTTTTCTCTGCCCTCTGAACTTTAGAGCTCAGCCAGTCCTAGCTGCCTTGAAAAGTGGTCATGAGTGTCACCTGTTACTAGATGCAGACGGCAGCTCATGAACTCTTAGCAGGGGAGAATGTCTCCCTGGCTTTAGCTGAGAAAAAACTGGGTACATGTCGGCAAGCCTTGAATGGAACAAAGTCATCAGCCCTGGGGGCTCTGCCTGGGTACTGACTGCAGTGAGAGATTCCAGGTGGCCATGGCCCAGGGGGAGGGCATGGGATGCCCCCAAAGGAGAGGAGGCATGAGAACTGCTAGTGGCAAACTTAATATTAGGTCCTCCGTGTCCTCAGTCTGCACTGAGGACATGCAGGTGGCCCTGGACCACCTCCCGTGCCCTCCCCCTGCTCACCTCTGAATTTGCACGAGGTTGCCCAGGTCTTCTATATCCTTCATGGACTTGGCCTTGAAAGGCTCGATGGTGAACTTCTCCTCCACTGCCTGGAGTAGCTTGGCCTCCCCACGCTGCTGCAGGCACTCCCACAGCCTTACTGTGTCACTCAAGGCCGCCCTGTGGAGGAATGGCCTCAGATCCAGGCAAGGTGACTGGGCTAGACCGTAATGGAGTGGCAGCTCCATGAAGGGACCTCCTACCTATTCAAATACTTTCCTTCTTCAGCTTAAACCCTACCTCCTCCAGAAAGCCTTCCATGATCACATCAGCCCTTATCAATTCCTCCTTTTCCTCAACTATCCCAGTGGTTTTGTTGGCCCTTTTGCTTTGGCTACCAGGAAGCTCAGTGCTAAGTTCTTGGTTGAACCACTACAATGGTGTAGGAACTTAAAGTTTGGGTAAAATATGTTTACAGGGTAGGTGGGAGAGATTCTCTGGATGTTAGGCTGAAGTGATCAAGCAGATTGCAGAAGGATTTAAATGAGCCAAATTAAGAAATTTAGATTTCACCTTGAGCGCAGTGTAAGTACCTCTGAAGGGTTGTAAATAGGGGCGGAATATGATCAGACGCAAGTTCTGGGAAGGTTGCTCTATTAGATGTGAAGTGGAATGGAAGAGGAGAGAATGGAGGTAGGGAGGTAAAGGGGAGGCTGTGACCTTATTTAACTATGGCAAGACGGTGGCTTGATTGGGGGAGGGAGAGAAGGAAACAAATTCGAACCCAGATCAGTCTTAGCTTCCAGATATGACCCAATCACTGGCACATAGTAGACTATCAAATTTTGGTTGAAAGAATCATGCTGCCTCTCACTGGCTGTGTGACCTTGGGCAAGCTGCTGTCCCTCTCTGACCCTTGCCTTCCTCCACAAAAGCGGAGGGAATCACTTTTCCTCAACCTGGCCACTGTGTATTCTAAGTGAGACCTCACAGAGCCAGCACTGGGCGCAGTGCCAAGATCATAGCAAGTGTTCCCTGCAAAGAAGCCCTCTTCCCCGTCCCCTGCCCCCACCTGAAATGAGTGACACAGCTGAGTCCCACGAGGCTCCCCAGTCCAGAGGGGTCAATGCCAGTGCTGCGGAGGTCCAGGGAGAAGTCTCTGCCCGCTGCCTCCAAGGCACTGCCCAGCATGTGAGTATTGGGAGGCGTGAGGCGGGTCCCCAGGAAGGAGAGGCGGGCTGGTAGCCCCTGCACCACGTGCTGCCAGAGCCCAGTGTCCAGCGTCTCATGGGCACAGTGAAGCAGCTCCAGCAGCCGCCCCACCCTCAGCGTCCCGGGCTGCAGCCTCTTCAGGTACCTGGTGAGCACCTTCTGCTTCCTGCCCACCAGGGTGGCCGTCGCTGGCCCTGCCAGGGCTCCCAGGCAGCGGGCATGAGGCTGGAAAACCAGCCCAGCCAGAAAGCGTGGAGTGCCCTCCAGCCAGTTGTCATAGGGCCTCTTCTTCCTTGGGGTTAATGCCAAATACTGAGGCAGCTCCTTGTCCCTGATTTCGCTGCTCAGAGCCAGCCACACAGCCCCCAGGAAACACTGCAGGAGGAAGCTGGAGAAGGCCAGCTCAGTCCCCGGGGCCCCCGGGGAGGGCTGCACCAAGCCTTTGGCCACAGCCCACGCCCTCACCGCTGCCGAGGGGAGCTCACCCTCCCTCAAGGTGCCGTGGTGTCTGCGGCCCAGCTCCCAAGCCAGCCTGGCCAGGCCCATCAGGGCTCCCGGGGGGCTGTCACGGGCTGCAGGGCCCAGTAGGCCAACGTAGAGTCCTGTGAGGGTGGAGGGCAGCTTGGCCTCATCACTCAGCTCCAGGAGGGCCTCGGAGAGCTGGCACACGGCCCGGCACAGGGTGGGGCAGTGGCTGTGACTGAGGAGAAGGGGCCGGCCCCGCAGGAGCGCCAGCGCTCTCTCTTGGCGCTCAGTCTCTCCGGAACGCTCAAAGTAGCGCATCACGTAGGTCTCGGCCTGCTCAGCCGAGAAGCCGGCCACCTCAAAGAGGGCATCGGCCTTGCCGAGGCTCGGGGCAAGGCGGCCCCGAGGCCGGGCCGTGAGCAGCAGCGTGCAGCCGCGCAGCAGCTTGCGTTGCAGGAGGCCCGCCAGCAGTCCCAGAAAGGAGCGGGGCTCTGTAGGCTCCGGGCCAGACGTGCCGTGCAAGAAGCCGTCCTGGGCTTCCAGCTCCTCGGAGGCATCCAGGATGAGCAGAACGCGGTCGGGCCTCCTCAAGATGTGGCCCCAGACCTCATCGTCCACCACCAGGGGCTGCGAGCCCAGGGAGAGCAGGTCCCGCAGGCGGTAGGTGTCCCCCCGATGGTCCAAACAGTGGCAGGGCAAGTAAAAGACAAAGTCGTACTGGGGCAGTTGGCCGCAGGCCCAGGCCCGGCTCACTGCCTGGGCCCAGCGGCTCTTACCCTGACCTGCTTTGCCCAGCGCAGCAATCACCTGGGTGTCACGCGGCCGCCGGCGGTCGCCAGCAGCCGGCAGCACCTCGGCCAGACCCACGTGGGCCAGCTGCCGCTCTGCCCAGTCCAGCGTGGCCAGCTCCCTCTCCTGGCTCTTGCTGCTGCTCCTCTCCAGCTGTGCCCGCACCAGGTCCACTTCCACCAGGATGCCTTCCGGGCCTGCAGGCTCGGCCTGGTACTTGTCCCGCAGTGAGCGGCAGAACCGCTCCACACTCTCTGCAAAGCCGGGGTGGGTGAGTGGGTGATTGCTGGTGGCAAGACAGGCCACCATGAGAACAGCCGAGATGCCAGGCCTACCACCATCACTAGCTTTTCACCCACTGGCTGCCCAGTCTCTACCAACGGCCTTCTTATCAGCAGCCTCGCTGGGTTACCCAGACACTTAATACGAATGCATTCACACCCGTTCTTTCACTCTTCGCTCATGTACCCACTTCTTCATTGACTCACTGACCTCCTCTTTCACCTGCTCACTACAGGAAGGCCCTGGGGGAGGTGGTGCTAAGATGGTGGAATCCATGTGCCTGGTTCAAATGCCAGCTCTGCCCCTCAGTAGTGTAATCTCTAGTGTGTTATAGAACCACTGTGCCTCAGTTTCCTCATCTGTAAAATGGGGATAATCCTAGGGTGGTTTGCAACTCTGACTTAACATATCTCACGTGTCTGGAAGAGCGCCGGGAGCGGGTAGGGCCGTTCTCCTGTCCGGCTCTCTCGTGGTCACCTCCCCTCACTCCCACCCTCACAACTCCCTTCATCCATTCGCTGTCCCCCAGGGTCCCCTCATGTGTTCTCCCAGGCTCAACAACCAGGTGTCAACACCTGGCATGGGCTTGTGAGGGGTAGGACCTCGATAAATGTTACTCAGAGTAAGAGGGGTGGAATCAGATGAGTGAGGGGCCAACACACGGGCTGGGTAAGTGTTGAGTGAATGACTGACCTGAAGCCAGGTTTGGGCTTCCCCCCTCCACTGCTCCCCAAACACACACACACCCAGGGCAGAGGGACCTGCCACCACTCACCAGGCCATTTTGGAAGCTTGCTGGGGACCTGGTGAACTGCCAGTCCTTGGGTAGGGGACACCTCGTTCTCTGGCAATGAAGAAGCCCTTGTCAGATTAGGGTGAGGGGCACCCCCAGGACTCCTCTCCCTCTGCGGCATTCAGTCCTCTGCGTGTCCCAAGGGCAGAGTCACACGGGCTGACTCTCCCTGAGACAGAGGTTACAAGGTGATAGCCCGAGGCACTATCCTACTCAAAAATGTCTTTTTTGGCCAGCTGTACTTTTTAAAATGTTGCCCATGTTTTAAAAACCACAATATCACTTTAAAAATCAAGATTAGCAAATTCTGCCGACATTTCAGATCTGGCCACACTGGGCCTGCTTTCCTGCAGGACAAGGAACAGCGAAGGCTGTGACTCGGTCTAGGTGGGCCATGGTTCTCCAGCTGACCCCGTCACCCAGCCCACCATGCCCTCTGTCCCTCCAGCACCTCCCTGCCCTGTTTTACCCACAAACACAACCTGCCTGTCCCTGTGGCTGCTCCGTTTGTGGACCTGTCTGCAGCAATGCCTTCCCTCTCTCACCTGAGCAGGGTCCTCACCTGCCATGTTCGCACGGGAGGTCAGGGCTGGTTCGGGCATGCTGGGAAGGTCAGCTGCCGACGGGGCAAAGGGGCTGGTGGAGCCAGGCCGGTCTGGAGACTTTGGGAAGCTGTGGACAGGTGGACTACTGGTAGGAGGCATTTGGCCTGCCTGGTGCATCTCAGCTACAGAAGTGTAAGAGGCAAGTGTGAGAATAGCGAGTTACCCAACCAGGAGCCCACTTGGGTCACCCCCACCCCAAATCAGGCTGTGGGGTTTAGGGAGTCTGGGGAGGGAAAGGGGGACTTCCAAAAGAAGATATCTCAGGATGAAATCGAGGAAAGAATTCTGGAGTGACATCTGGCTCGCAGAGGCTTGGTTCCCCATCTTCGTAATGGGCACAGTCAGCTCAGAGGGAGCCTGGGGCAGGTGTTGCTTCAGAACTCTTCCTGCTGTGAGGTCAGTGCTTACTATCCTAGATGTCATCAATGTTCCCTTGCTTTTGAGGTGCCAGTGCATTATGCAAAAACTACATGCAACTTTCAAAGGATGCCCACGAATTGAGTGAGAGTGCCCCCTGGGCATTATCCTCTCTCCCACCCCTGATGGTCCAAACATGCCTTCCCCTGGACAAGTCACAACACCTCAGTGTGGCAGGTCAGCAGGGACCATTTCGCTGATCAGGAAACAAGGCAATTAAGAAAAAGCTGTGTAAGGATGCACACCACACTGTTCACAACAGTATCCTATGAGAGTGAAGGAAAGACTCGGTAACTCTTGCAGGCAGCTCTTACTGTTTGGCTTGTTAATAAGCATGTATTGATGTGATTTTAAAATTAAGCATTTTTTTTTAACAACTTAAGTTACATTGTATTTTTTTTTTTGAGAGGGCATCTCTCATATTTATTGCTCAAATGGTTGTTAACAACAATAAAATTCAGTATAGGGAGGTCAATGCTCAATGTACAATCATTAATCCATCTCAAGTCTAATTCTCATCAGTCTCCAATCTTCTGAAGCATAACGAACAAGTTCTTACATGGTGAATGAATTCTTACATAGTGAATAAATTCTTACATGGTGAACAGTACAAGGGCATTCATCACAGAAACTTTCGGTTTTGATCACGCATTATGACCTATAAACAATCAGGTCAAATATGAATATTCGTTTGATTTTTGTACTTGATTTATATGTTGATCCCACATTTCTCC